GTCATAGCTGGGTAAGGCTGTTGGTTGGATTGCCTCTCTCTTTTGGAAGCTTCTTTTGGTACTGTCATGCATATGAAGAACTACTCGGCTGTAAAGAAAAATTAAATCATGAATTTTACAGGTATTGGATAAAACTAGACAAGATCATATTGAGTGAGGTAACCCAGTTACAGAAAGACAAATGCTACAGGTTCTCTCTCATCTGAGGCTTCTAGCTCCCCATCTTCAGATGTGAGTACATAGCCTAGAGTAACTGCAGAAACCAGGAAAATTAAAAAGAGACCATTTCTGTGGTGGGAGTATGGGAGCAATAGAAGGAAATAGCAAAGTACAAATGATCTGATGGTGAAAAAGAGAAAAATAGATGAGGGCTAATTAGAAATGGTGAGAAAAATAAGTATAGAAAGAGGATAAAATAATAGCAGTAACAATGGCTGAAAAAAGTCATAAGGAATCATACTAGTAACAATCTTAAAAAAAACCTACAATACACATAAATCTGTATATAAATATGCATATATAGTTTAAATGAAATTTTCTCATCTAGGTTGGCAATGCTCCCTCAGAGAGTCAAAGACCACCTAACAAAATCTGATACAAGGAATGAGGTGGAACTGAACTGAAAGCCTCCCCCTGATGATGAGCTTTTGGGGTGGTACTTTGTTTTATTTATTTGTTTTGTTTTTTTCAACACAGGGTTTCTCTGTGTAGACTTGGCTGTCTTGGAACTCACTCTGTAGACCAGGCTAGCCTTGTACTCACAGAAATCTACCTGCCTCTGCCTCCTGAGTGCTGGGATTACGGTCATGCACCACCATCACCCAACTGGGGTGGTTTTTCTTTAACACTGAGGACTAGGCTTGGAGATAAAGGATGGGAAGCAAGAACTCAAAGCTAGAATTAGCCTGTTGTTACTGGAGATAACTTGCTGTTTTATGGACAGTGTTTGTATATTTTAAAGTTTACAAAGTGCACAAAATAGACTGATCCTTATAACATCATAGATATGTGTACTAGTTCCATTTTGTAGTTGAGGTTCACTAACTTGCTTCAGTCATACAGGCTCACCTGAGGCTCAAACCCAGGTCTTCTGGCTCTAGTACCACTGATCCACTCTATTGCCTCAAACGCACGCAGATAAAAGCTTGTGAAGAAACAACAATGAATGAACGACTCTTTCCCCATCTAGATACCACAGAGGATTGTAAAGATCAATAATACTCAGTTTCTAGGGAACTGAAGGTAACTGTCCCCCATTCTCTCTTTCAAACCCACACCCACAAGCACAGCTGCAAAGATTGATTGGCACCCATTGTTCACTTTACAAGAACAGATGAATGACATTTCTATGTCAGTGATACTTGAAAGCAACAAAAGGAAAGGCTCTTGCAAAGTACATCGCATCCTATCCCATGGAAGCCCTAACTTTTCATTCATACCACTGAGGGGATATTTGATTGTTTCCTGAAAATGCTAATAACACAAAGCTCATAAATACTAATGAAATGCTATAGATTAGCAGAACTCAGCAAGTAACCTAGGGAGCCTAGACAAGAATTCTTAGATTAAAAAAAATATATAAAGAATACTTTTTAATCGAATTTTCCCCAGACTGGGTTCCCAAATGTTAATGAGGACTCTTTCTGGCTGTGTGGAGAGCTGACGCTAATAAGTACCTCTAAGAACGCAGAAGTGAATTATTGACTTAGCTTTAGTTGAAAAGAAATCTATTTATTCAAAGGCTATTTTAGGTGCCACGGGATGGATGTGTTTAAGACAAAGGTGGGAGGGAAGAAGAGCCTGGGACATTGTGATAAACATATAATTCAAATGCATGCCTCTATTTCAGCCAACTAAGCAATCTAAGTTGGAATTTGCTTATTATATTTGTCTTTTATGACACAATCCTTCAATAATAATAATTACCCTGGACTCTAAAAGCTGGTGTCAGAAATTATAACTTTGTCATTCATTGCTGAATCCCCTATGCCTAGCACAGACTCTGGCACAAATCAAATGTCCAATAAATGTTTGTTAAATGGATAAAGGGCTTCTCTTATGATATTTTCCAGAGCTTTTCAGATCTGTGATCTTTCCCTAAATGTCATCTCAGATTGTAGTGACCGTTACAAAGCTCCCACGTAGGACCCAGAGCTACCCTAGCCACCGACAGCCCTTCTCATTCATCTTCCAGTTTCCCTCTCCCACCGTGGGTTCCAGGCTCATTGGAAGGCAGCCTGTTCTACATGCTCCAGACATTGTTCTCCTGATAGATTAAAATATCCTTTTCACCCAAAGTTCTCTCTCAAAATCCTATTTATCTCTAAAGGAATTCTTGAGTGGCTAAACACTGCCCTAATAATCTCCAGGGGCTCAGTGTCCTTCCTCCCGCTGATGCCCTTCTCCTGCCTGAAGAGCCCAGCACCACCTGATATAAGACTAGCTTACTAGTAAATGTGGTGTTGATGTCACTGAGTGTGAGTCACAGATTCTGTGCAAGAATCCCTTGGTCCCAGGATGGCTGTGTGTGGTATCAAGTGAGGAGAGGAGACCACCTGAATCTTCCCACAACAGAACAAAAAACTTGCTCTGAGTAAACCAAAAATATCAGTTCATAAGTGGTTCAAAGCAAGGGGTCGTGGCAAAAAGTTGGGAAATTCAGAGTAGGAAAAGTCCTTATGTGGGGGGGGAGGGTATCCTATGGAATTATGGTTGCACCAATGGTTACTTTTATCTTCAGAGAGCCCGGAATCTTGCATGTGGAATGGAGTGCAGGCAGATTCATGTCCTGGGGTTTCTCCAGCCCTCCAGTGAGAGGACATGGCCTCCTAGAGCGCACTCTGCTTTGTTGCGTGTTGAATTTTAGTTTGGGCTTAGCCTTTCCGTAAACCTGCACTGAGGAAGAAGTTGGGTTTTGTTCTGTGTTTCTTTGGGGGAAGTGTCTCACAATGGGGCATCAATCTCTTTGCAGACTGCTCTACAGTAGACTGCGATATTAAGTCAGTCTGAGGAAAAGGATTGTAAGATTCTGCAAATCCTGGGCTGCTTGCCAAAAATGGGTTAATGCCACACAAAGGAATAGGAGGCCCGGAGCAATGCCTCTGAACAGTTTACTCATTGGAGATCTGGAGCCAAACTCCCCAGAATGAGTAAGTTCAGTCCTGCCACTCATGTGTCTTGTGACTTGTTCTTCTGTCTCCAGCCGAAGGGTGGAGAGAGATAGGATCTTCTGCATAAGGCAACATTGAGTCAGTGAGTGTGACGCGAGTGAATGGGCAGAAAGTACCCAGAACAGTGCCTGGCATACAATAATGCTTTAAAAACATGAGCTAAAATTGTTTTCGTACTTTTATAGTATTACTTTAGTTCCTGTGGGCCACGGGGTACAGTACTGGGGACCAATCTGTGCGACTGCAAAGACCGTGCAAATAATACCAGTGGGATTGGGGCCAAATGCCATCAGACTAAGCCAGGTGGAGCTGAGATGGGCATATGGCCACTGAGTATACGGGACAATTATGGAGCATGTTATCCAAGGACTTAGACCACCTCTAGGATAACCTCTAGGCAACCACATAACCTACCCCTGTGTCTGGAGCACATCTTTAACCTCCAGGCCACAGAATTAAGCCTGAACTAATTTGGAATTCTGAACCCAGGATACACAGAGGTCCACAGCACTATCCTACAGCTCACTTAAAAGGTAAAATGCCCCAATCACGCAGGAATCTGTGGATGGGTGATTGTAAGTTCAAGCCTAACCTGGTTCACGTATGCAGACCCTGTTGCTCTGCATACCAAGTAAACTGCAAGGTCATTCACATCCTTCTCACTATCGGTTTGTCAGCATCCTTGGCAGAAGGCTGGGTACATTATGGAACACTCTAGGCATTCACTGCGGTTCCATGCAGCCTCGGATGTCCTGCTTCATCACTCTAGGCCTCGTATTTGCCACCTCTAAGTAAAAGAGCTATCCAGAAGTCTCCAGCCTGAAAATCAGTTACTCTTGATATTTGAGTCCAGGGCAATGTGTTACACAGCGGGGGGGAAGGGATCCTTAAATCCCTCTGAATCATGTCTGTTCCCTAAGTCATCTTTGAACACAAGGACCTGTGGATTCTGGGATCCATAGAAGCCTCTGAGACTCTATACTTAAGAGCTGATCTCTAAGCTCTGTGTGGAAAGATGGAGGCCTGACAGAAGAGAAGTTACTTGTACAGAAATAGGAGGACGCCCCCCCCCATCCACTGGACTCAGGCTCCATGCCTGCTCCCAAGCTTCAGTTCCCAAGGAGATGTTAGCTTTCTCTCCCTTGAGGAAGAAAGGAACAGGTAAGGAAGAGACCGGAAAGGTTTGCTTGAGAAGTAGCACATGGGATGACAAAGAGAGAGAAGGGAGAAAGCATAGAGGACCAGATACAGGAGTGGGGTACAAGGAGAAGGGGAGACAGAGAGTTGGGAAAAGCAAGCATACAGCAAGGGTGGCAAGGATGTGGCACGATGCGAACCGATGACCTCTTAGCCAGGAAGAGGCCATCTCATCTTGTGCTTAAGCTTTAGTAAGCACCAAAAATGATAAACTGTGTTTCAAAGGGTTATGACATGGAGTTACCATATGGGAAAAGCATGTCCATCACCTGTCAGGTGGGCTAGAGTTGAGGAAAGATTGAGAACCGTCATTTTACAGGGTACAGGTGGAGAAATAACTAGAAAGTACATGATATACATACTGATTAATTTATCTAGCAATTGCTGAGCACCTAGTGTGTACCAGGTCTGACATAATATTAATTCTTTTATCCTAAGCCCAATAGCACATGTGTGCATAATAAGAACATTCTATCGACTCATTGCATGCACTTTGTTTTTGGGGTGTTAATATAATTTCAGTAAACTCTGAAAATCGTTGATTCCTTTGCTTTTCTAAGCATAAAGCCACTGACACTATGAAAACCATGAACCACTGCATTTCTCTGAAGTTGTCCATTTTACTTTCTTCAGGTGCTCCTGGTGGCATGCCCAAATGTGAAGCTGAAAGAGGAATACATTCCAAGCGGCTAACACTGTGTCCTGTGGAGCCCAGGGTTTAGATAATTGGAATCCTCTGGCCCCACACTATAGTCCAGCACCATGGAGAGAAACAGTTCCTTCTTCAACTCTATCTGGGAAACCATCCGGACCAGACATGAAAGAGGCATCTTTAACACGGTCTGCCTGGCTGTCCTCCTGGGGCTGCCCCTGGTGGTGGTCCTCACACTCCTCTTCGTCTGCTGCCATTGCTGCTGTAGTCGGCCACCCAAGAGCAGCCAACAGCCAGACCAGAACAAGAAGAAAAAGAAGAAGAAAAAGAAGAAGAAGGATGAAGACCTCTGGATCTCTGCTCAGCCCAAGCTCCTCCAGATGGAGAAGAGGCCATCGCTGCCTATCTATTGATCAAGGAAGCAGAAGGAACTCCCCTTGGAGCCGAACCTCCCATCAGCCACAGAGACTTGGCAGGAGCCTTTGAAGCAATGCATTCGTGTCCACAGATTACTCAACCAAGGAACAAATTTCAGACTGAGCATCCCAATGGAGGGGAGCACATGGACAGTTCTTACAGGGTCTTGGCAGCTATGTGTCCGATAACAGAGCTCTCTGTTGCAGTCCCAAGCATCTATTACACTGTCTCTGGTATACTCAATCACAAAAGCACAGAAAACATGTATACATGCATCTTAGATGGCGTCCAACTTTGTATGTACCATATGTATTACATTTGAACATCAGGTACAAGGGACAGTATGCTCTACTTACCACATGGCCATTTAATATGTACTTTGCTCAAATATGTATATATACATGTACTGAAATTCCTTATGGGAAGATACGTCCAGATTTAGGCACATATGCACAATTAAATAGCCATGTAAGGCCCTAAGCCCTGTCTATTTGCCATCCAGGTTGGAGACGGGTGCTTTCCTAGTCCTATACCTACACAGTATTTTACTGAAAATACATTTGGACATTCCAGGAATCTAATACAACCTCCACCCCAGTGTATGTTGATACAGAAGCTAGTAGTTCCTATATGCTTCTGACCTTTTGCCTGTACCTAAAAGTTTAACATATAGCTCCAAATACATTCGAAGCTCTTGGCTTGCAACTCACGTCAGGTCCTTATTGCCACTGACAGGTGTTTAATGTGGCCCAAGACCTCTCGGGACATTACCCCATAACTACTCAGCAAGGTGCCCTTTTCTGAGCAGTGATGAACAGCTCTTGGCAGTGACTACTAGAAAGCTACAGAAACCCATATTCTCTTCACTGGACTGTAGTTGTATACCTGTGTGATGTATATGCACATAGAAAGGGCAAGGAGCTGCCTGATGTGAGCTAGCTATATGTTCCGTGTGACCGAGGGTTTTCAGAAAGGAAACAAGTAAGATCATCCCAAGTCCACTCTCAAAAGCAGCACACACACGCACGCACACACACATACACCCTGTGTTTGTAGTAGTGTATAGGTTAAATGAAAGATAAAACTGTAAAGACATTTGTTGCTACTCACGTTGATGCTCAGGCAAATATCTTTTACACAGTAGGTACTCATAACTGTGGATGGATACACAGTGGTGTTAAGGATAAACCTGTAATACCTCATGATTTCCCCAGCGACCTAATCTTTTAAGACACCCCACTAACTGCTACAAAAGCTGAGACCAGGGTGGCATTGACATACGTGCCCGTGGTACCTGAGGACATGCCACGTTCTGAGCAAAGGAGAGCCTTTCCTCCCCAGGCTAAGGCTAAGGGAACAGACTGCTTGGCGTTTTTATTACATCGCGGCCATGTTACGAAGGCAGAGAGCTCCCAATTCGGACGTGGATTATACTCTCACAGCTCATCTGCACATCTACTGGGGAGCGCTTTAAATATTTTTCCCATGGAGATCATTATAGATAGTGGCAGATCACTGTCTAATTAAGGACATAGCCAAATTATGACATTACGGTAGCAAGAAAAACAAAATCCCTGAATTTGATGAGACTGTAATGAATGGAAAGCTGTACTTTACTGGCTCCCCCCTGCGACTCGGGGTTCAACTCCCTCTGTGCTCCAGGCCCTTGGCGGGTAGCTATCTACCGGTGGCTCTCATACCTGGGTCTTCCAGCAGAACAGTCAGATTCTCTCTCTCACCCTACATAAGCTTCATGTCACTAGGCACTGACACCTCTCACCCACAGGCCTCTCTGACCACAGCAACACTTCCTGATTATTTTCCCCTATGTCACACGGGGATCTTGTGGATTGCCTGGCTGGCTTCCTCATGTGACAGAATGGCCAGTCTTCTCCCCATACCACATGCCCTTCTCTGCCAACTGCTACCCACAAGGCATCCTTCCCACCTCCAACTCTCAGTTGCCCTAAGACAGAAGACTTGGGGTAGAGGAGAGGCAGGACAGCAGAGCTGGGATGTCAGATACGGTCTGCAAGGATGGATCACCAGGATCAGGGACCATACAAATTACATGGTTTCCATGACAACTGGCTGCCGGTTTGAATTAAGACAGCAGTCAGTTGTCACTGACTGCCCTAACAAGGCCTCTGTCTCCAGGCACAGTGTACCTACTGCTTTCTAATCAAACAGACTTGAGCCAGTACCTGTCATGAAACACCCAGAAAGTCAATTCTCAGTTGCTTCTATATCCTGGAATCTGGAAGTCCCAACTCTGATTGGATCATTCCTTCCTGTCACAATCTGACAGCCTTTCTAGAGAAGCTAGGACGGTGCAGGGCCCATGATATGATAAGTCTTCACACTGATGCTGGGGAGCGGAAACCCAGAGCAGCGCTTCATGTCCAGGCTCCCAGCTTTACTCTTTTCCAGTTCTTCTCGTATTACTTCTTTACCCTGTATCATGCCAGTTCATTTCTTTATCTCTCCACTTTGTTTCCCTCACTCTGTCCCAGAGTTGCCATGGCTACAGTTTAGCGGCAGGGTACCGTTTAGGACCTGTGCTTACCTGACCCGTCAGGGAAGGGTAAGTTAATGGAAAACCTAAGAGGCTTCAGCGGACTGGAGGAATGGCTCAGCAGTCAAGAGCACTTGTTGCTTTTGTAAAAGACCCAGGTACCAGGTATGCATATGGTATACATGCATACATGTGGGCAAAACACTTGTACACATAAAATAAATCTCTTCAAAATTTTGATAACAAGATTCATTTAAAAAGAGGCCCTTTAAACCAACATGGGCTTGGGGAAGGGCTCCCTCCATACTGGACTTCTGGTCTACCTTGATCACACTCCAATATAGTCAGAGGGATCTTTGGCCACTGTTGATGGACTTTTTATATCTTTAGAGGAGGAAAAAGAATAGAAAAATGTAAATAAAGGGCTGTCACTTTTTCAAGGAGAATATATAAATGATCAAAGTTGTACAGTATTTGTCAATGTTTTTCTGTAAAATTCTAATACACATAAAAGTTTATTTAAATAAATACTTTGAAAATGAAACCTTCCTTGAATGTTGGAGTGAGTCACTTACTGTCTCATCCCTGAGATTTTATGCTCACACAGAAACAACAGAAGCAGGGCCTCTCCCTGTCTGGTCACTGCCCTCCTAGAATCTCAGGTCCGAGGACCAGGAATGTGGCATCTCTCTCTGTTACTCAAAGCAGGCAACCTTGAAGGTTAAACTGAGCAATGACAACCGTAGAAAAACATACTGGTATTCTCTGGTGACACTTAGAAAACATCTCTCCAGTGAAGTCAGCCAGTGTCGTTTTATAAGAAAAAAATATATATTAAAGATTAAAAAAAAAAAAAAGTAACAGGACCTCTGGGTTAATCGTGTACTATGAAATGAAGGCTCAAGGACCCCTGTAGTAGCTGGGGTATAATTTATACGAGTATAAATACACAAATACATACATATGATACGTGCACGTGTTTATATAAGCACATACACCTTTTTCCTAAGTCAACCACAACTTTTCGCTAGTTAAGAAATGAGTGATTCCGATGCTCTTGATTCCTTTCTCAACAATGCTTAGTTTCTCATTAAAGGAGAGGACACCTGGAGTGCTGGCCCACAGAAGCAAGAAGGTGGAAATGTTCTCCACCGGCACTGCCCAATCTGGCACTATTGGCCACATGTGGTTTAGTTCATTAAAATTAAATCAAATTAAAAGTTCAAAGCTCAATTATGCCAGCCGTACTTCGAGCACACCCGGTGGCTAGGAACAGCACCCCCCAATGGCACAGGCTAGCATCTTGTGGGAAGAGTAGCTAGTCCAGTGTTGGTGGACAGCTGTGCCGTTTTAACGGAGGCTTAAGAGGGAAGACCCACAGCACAGCTGCACTTTTGATGTCTTGCCCAAGGCAGGCTGTTTCGCAGTTTCAGTTGATTCTTGAGCTCTTTCGCCTATCACCACACACCCGTGACAACCAGGGAGAAGAGTCTTCGTTCGGCCTGCCATTCATTCCTCTAGGACATTGCAAAGGTTTCCAATATGGAGGAGGAGCTGCCCAGAAGTCCACAGCATCCCTCCCAGGCACCTCAAGGCTCACCACCCCCTCTACAGGGCCCTCAGCTCCACCTGCTCAGGCCCACCTACACTCTGGGGTATGATAGAGTTGCACAGTGCAATCATCCATCAGCATTCTCCACTCACCAGAGAACTCTGCTGGCTGCTTGTCCTTTGGTCTTAGAATTACTCTTGAATTCAACATCACGGGCATACAAGACTGAACAACTACAACAAATTCCTTCAAACAACTTACTGTATCTGTCCTAGGTTCAACTTATTAAAATGTTTTCAGATTCCCATAGGGAAAGTACCACTATTTATTCAGTAATGGCAGGGCGTACGCATGAAAATATTTTATCTATCATTATGTGCCAAGTCTGCTGAGGCCCATACCAGAGAATTTGTTCTGAGGGGGTCAAAACAATACAGTTTACTCACTGCTTTCTCAGAGGGACACACACACCAAGGCTGGCATCAGCTCAGGCTAACAAAGAGTTGCACTGGGGTGAGCTGAGAAAAGATGTGAACCCTGGCAGAGCAGATGAGAGGCCCTGGGCTCTGTGGGCTAGGACTCAAGACTAGGATGGCGCAGGCCCTGATACGCACACCAGTTCTCACCGGTCATGTAATTTATGCCTGTGATGTTACCTCCCTATTAAGACTCATTCTCAGAAATTAAGTGGAAAAATGCACATAAAACATTTAGCACTGTGCCAGGCTCAGGGGAACTGCCCAAAATAAGTATCATTAACGAAGGAAAATCAAGGTTTGCATTCAAGAAATCAAAGGAGAAACTTCCAGAGGAGAGCATCAAATTCTCATTAGTCAAGTGATCTTGACTTTCACCATCCTTTCTCTTTCTTCCATTCATGAGCCATCATAACTGTGTTGACTATTCATAGAAAACCAGCCTTAGAACTGGCTATTTATACACCCCTATTGAGGAAAAAGACAACTCAAAGGTTTTGAATGACATTATAAAGCCTTAAGAAGCAAACGAACGAACTTACCACTCCAGAGGGTCTTGGAGCCCATTAGGAGCATTCACGATCACAATTTGATTCCTGCCTCACAAGAAAGTGAGGCATCAAGGGGGAAAAAAAAAAAAAAAAGAGCCAGCATACCCAGGCCTGGGATAGAGACCACAGTCTTCTTCCAGGAGCTTCTTGGGTCTGGCCATAAGTCTGTAAGTGTCCAAATGTCCTCTTCTTGCATTCCACAGCAAACCCCAACTTCCTTGGCCTCATCTAAAAAAACATAATTCTCTTTACTTGCCAAAACAAAGAACTGCATTCCTTTATTTTCTTTACATTTACAATGCTGGGCTCTAGAGATGGCTCAGCGGCTAAGAGTGCTTGCTGTCCTTGCAGAAGACCCGGGTTTGGTCCCCACATAGCAGCTCACAACCATCTCTAACTCCGGCTTCAGAGGATCCAACATTCTCTTGCGACCTCTATGGGCACTTGGCTCGTAACAGTGCATATACATTTACAAAAACAAAACACTTGTGCGTATAAAATTTAAAAAATAATTCTAAAATAATTTTTTTAATTAAAAATCTGCTGTGTGTGGTGGTACATGCCTGTAATCCTGGCACTGTGGGAGGCAAAAGCAGGCGGATCTCTGTGAGCTTGAGGCCAGCCTGGTCTACAAAGTGAGTCCAGAATAGCCAAGGCTACACAGGAAAACCCCTATCTTGAAAAAAGAAAAATATATCTATATATATAAAGCTGACAAGTCATATGTAAAAATAACTAAAATTTACAGGCTTCGGAACTATTCTTTGCCCTTATAATTACATAGACATTCATCTTGTGTAATGAGCAGGTTGAATGAGCTAACCTGGGAACCTTATTTATATAACACTGGTATTGGAACTCAAAGCAGAAACGATCCACTCACCAGGGCCACTTTAAGAAGAGTTGTAAATACAGACTTTCTACCCACTGCCCAGCCCAGTGTGGGGTAGTTAAGGAGGTTGGGAGCAGACAGAGCCAAGGATTCACTAGGCAACCCCCGACCACCACCACCCCGGAGGTGTCTGCTTACCTGGTGTGTTATTCACAGGAAAACATAGCAACCACTAAATGCACGCTGGATGCTGAGGAGACCCCACTGGCCAACTCTCAAGACAGTATTACCCAAAAAGGAGAAAAAGTGGGGACCCCCTCCGGAACTTCCCTTCTTGGAGGAAAAGTTTCACTTGAATTGAGAGACACCTGATAAGACAACACTGCCATCTACTGGCAATTATGGACATAGCAGGCCGCTTGCCCTGGCTCTAGGCTTCAACCATATTGATTGGCTCCCACCGACCCTAACACCTACCTCTCCATGACCCTGGAGAAAGTCTTAAAGTACTGGATGGCTAGGTTTATTTTTTTAAGTGGGGGGGGGGCTCTTTTAGTAACTAAGTTCCACCAGCAGCTTTTCACTATCTTTTCTTTCAGTGCTTGCAAGCCTTCTTGTCTGCATGCTCTCAGTTGACACAGCCCACACCTGTTGGTTTGTTTTTTTTTTCATCCTAGATCACAGTTCTTTGAAAATCTCTGCAATGTGTGTTTCTGTCTCTGCACCTCCTCTTTCCGTTTCCCTCGCTCTTCCCCCTCACCCCTCACCCCACACTCTCTTCTGCAGTATTTTCTAGCTTTTTTAATCCTTGAATCCATGATAATTGGAAGTTATAGGGAAAAAAAAAAGTGTTCAAACTCACTTGACAAACATAAATGCCAACCCATTTCCAGAGGAACCAGCCGTGACGCACAAACATCTCCAAGCTCAGTGGTTTGCCGGCTGGCCTTTGAAGCCAGCCCTCTTTCAACCCTGCTGATTCTGCAGATCTCCTTCTGACACGGACCAAGGGAATCATTACCTCTTGCCTGAACTACTACAGCAGCTTCGAGCTGAGGTGTGACCCTCCGCCCTTTCCCTATACCACACCCCTTGCAGATGGTTAAGGTGCACAGAGACCCACCAGGTGGAACAAATGTCTTCTGACGAGCCATGTCACAGCGGAGAGAGCACCTGTGGCTTACAGGGATTAACTGTGCATTTCAAAGGAACTACTAGAGAGGATTTTGCATGTTCTCAACACTAAGACATAAGTGTCTCAAGTGATGGATGTGCCAGTCACCCTGATCTGATCATTTCACACTGTGTATATACAGTGTGTGTGTATTGAAATGTCACACTTTACCCCATACATATGTGTCAATTAAAAATATCACGAGGACTTGGAGACAGCACTGTAAACAAGGTGAGTGCTACTCAAACGTGAGGTCTTGACGCAAATGCTTGTTGAGTGCGGCAGCCCGGCTAAGGTAAACCCTTACACCCAGGAGGAGGAACAGGCTGGCGGGGTAGACCGGCCAAGTCTGCCGGAAGAGCTTGTCTCAGTACATGAAGTAGAACGCAGCCAAAGGAGGCCCAGGGTAAGACTTTGGCCTATACGCACTCAGATACACACAAACACACAACAGTTAGGTAGTTTCCAAAAACCCTACTATGTTCCCCTCTCCAGCCTGTCACCAAACCAGTATTTCTGAAAGACAAGCCTGCCATGTCACTTCAAGCTCCCAAAACCTCTGAGAGCTCTCCATTGTCCAACTGTTTGTGTGGGAACAGTGGCGCTCACCCCTCCATCCATGTTAGAGTCCCCTGGGAGCTTTGACAAGCTCAGGTGCATAGAACTTGCCCGAGACCCACTGAAGTGGAGTCTCTGGAGGGGCAGCGAACAAAAGGACACACATCAAAGCCCATGCTGGCTCTGACTGGCACTGTGAGCTGACAGCCAGTGCAGTGTTTGCAGCAATGAATCCCTCCCCGAGTTCCTCCCCCACTGAAAGCTGCTTTTCCCTCTTCCTGAAAGCAGCCTGGATCTCCCAGGTATCTGGCTGCTCCCCTCGCTGACTCGGTCTGTCTTTATACACCTGATACTATCGTTACAGCTCTCAAAAGTCTTGGTGGAATTAGACACACACATGCACACAGAGAAAGAGAGAGAGAGACCCCAGTGCCAACCATACCCCTAGTGACTCACTTTTTTCTTAAGCCACCACCATCCTGATCTGTTTCCATCCTGTCTTCGCATAGTTCTAAGAGTTGATCAGGGGCAGTAGTTTGCTTGCTCACCTCTTCCTTGTGCATGCATAGAATAGACAACGCTTTGGAAACCTTACCAAAGTTTGTGGGATGAGTGTCCTGGGCCATGCTGTGCTCCTGGCTTCTGGTGGATTCCCCACTTCTCAAACCTCCTTTCACCTTAGGTTGTCTTGGAAGATGGGATGGCTTCCTTTAAGCTTCAAAACTTTGAGGATCTGTGATGGATGCTGGTTCTATGAAAAGTGTTTAAACCTCTCTGAAAACCTCTCTGATCTACCCAGAAACCCATTTCACAGGCCCATATTCATTTACTGGAATGTACCCCTGGGCTGGCCATGTGAAAACAAGGGGCAGCATGGAGGAAGGTTAGGGGCTGGGATGATTTGAAAATGAACTTCCCCAACTGCCTTCCCTGCTCACAGGAGAAGCTTTGAAGGTCAGCTGAAGATTTCTCCATGGCAACCAAAGAACCCTATGCAAAAGGTTGCTAAAACAGCTCCAGTCTCCCACACAAGTCACTTAAGTGGCCTGCAGTGGAGAAACCCTGGGGCCAACTGGAATGGGCGCGGTACCACCCTGTGCCATCCAAGCTTCCTCCAGCCCAAAGGCTATGGGGCACTTTCACAGCAGAACTCCATTCTGAGGCCGCCAATCTTAGCAGCAGTTTTTATAAGCAATATCATCTGAGAAAGAGTCCACCAATCTATGTCCGTGATGGTCTGAATAAGAATGGCCTCCACAGGCTCATATATTTGGATGTCTGATCATCAGGGAAAGGCACTACTTGAAAAGGATTTAGGAAGTGTGGCCTTGCTGAAGTAGGTATAGGCTTGTTAGAGCAAGTGTATCACTGTGGGTGGCCTTTAAGGTTTCAAAAGCTCAAGTCAGGCCCAGTGTCTCTCTCTTCCTGCTGCCTGTGGACCCAGATGTAGAACTCTCTGCTACCTCTCCGGTACCAGGTCTACCTGTATCCCATCATGCTTCCCACCGTGACAATAACGGACTAAGCCTCGGAAACTGTAAGAAAACCCCAGTTAAATGCTTTCTTTTATAGGAGTTGCTGTGATCATGGTCTCTTCACAGCAACAGAACACTGGCTAGATCACACAGGCACACTTAAGAAGTCTGCTCAGAGTTGACGCTGTGGCTCCTGTCAGCCATCTTTGGCTCTGGGCCAGTGCTGGGAATCGAATCCACTTTGTCAAGGAAGCATTTTCCTGCTAAAAGGTTTGAACCAATGATGATGAGCCCAAAGACTCTCATTCGCAGAGAGGCCCGTTTGTGCAAACAAGCACAGGACACTGCAGAAGGAACTCTTCAGAGAGGACATTTAGCTGCCCAAGGCAGATGGGGATGCTACCCTAGGGCTCAGGCCCCAACAAAAGACTCAAAGAACCTGTTTCTGAAAATATGTCCCCTCCAGGAACGTCTTCGAAGCCCCCACCCCACCCTACCCCACCTCCATCACCACCTCCGTGGCTCTCCTCAGCAGCTCTCCTCAGCAGCAATCACTTCTTGAAGTTACAAACACCAGAGGTAATTTATTATTTACTGTCAGTCTCCACTGCTGGGGTAGAAGCATCATTTATGTATTATCAGCCTTTGCCTAGAATATGTAGAACAAAGTATGTAAGTGGAAGCTTTGTTTACTTGGATAGATTCCGCCCTTAGAAGAGAACCCGGGACATGTATGTTTTAAGCCATAAGTATCGAATAAATGAGCGAATAAATGACAGCTCCATCAGCGCTGGGACTGAGTGACTTGTCCATCTGTTTCCCCGGCAGGCCACCGCTCTCTAGATTCCTGACTCAATGTGCTTTCACCTTTTTAAATGATTAGCCCCTACACCGAGCGAGCTTCACTTAGCCCACTCACTATCAGATGTAGCTGTTGCTGTGGCCTTCCTAGATGCCTGGTTGTGGGTGAGGATACCGAAAACTTGAAAGGCTGGCAAAAGTGATTTCTGGCATATGGCTTGGCACTGACCAGAGGTTACACCTAAGCAGCAAAGTACACCCTAGACCAGAGGAGGGAAGTGAGCTGCTAGAATCCTGGCCTTCCTTCCTGCTCACGCGCTTCTGCTGCATTCCAAAGGGCATTATTTTCCATCACACAGGTAAAGAGACCTCAGCCAGCCAGTTTAACGCTTGAATTGCACCTCCACTCGCACTTAAGTTTAGAATTCAAGTGCACTTAAGTGGAAAAAAAATAACACAAGGCAATTTTTAAAAATTAAATGGTTTATTTTTGTTTTCTTGAATAGGAATTTAACTTACTTCAACGGTCACTGACAGAAAACCTTCCAAAAATGATACCAAAAGACACAAAACAGATGACACGAAGAGGCTTCCAGTGTGGGGAGCAGGTGAGGAGGGAAGCTGAGGGCTGAGGGGCCTGGGGGGAACTCAGAGAAGACTGAGGGTGCCAGTTATTTAGAGAGACAGATTATTTAAAGCTGAAATGACTGCAAATTTATTTACAACATATGCAGATCTATGAAAGAGATTATACAAATGTCTTTAAAGGGGGTGGTTAAAATAGCAATGAAATGGGAGCTTTGCTCTCCAGCATGCTAGAGATTAGTCAGAACTTAACTAAATATGAATACTTTGTGGCCCCTTTGTAGTCTCTTCATTCTTCACCACACAAGAAATTTAAAAGGAGTAAGATTTGTACTTTTCCCCCAAAGATCAGGGGCCCAGGAGACAGCAAGTAGCAGGCTGCCTCAGCTCTGAACCCCCTAGGGGCTCAGAACTTCACTTTAGTTTTTTTCTATAAAGGTCTATATTACCAGATGCATATAGAGATCCCTACCGATTTCTAAAGATTTCCAGTTGGTGGTCTACTGAATGATTCATCTTTTCGCCCTAATCCAATACACCTGTCATTAAGGATGGGGTTAAAAAAAAAAAAAACTTGTGACTCCAACACTGTGTCACATCCATATGCACTGTTCAATTACAATATTGTTGACTTTGGGGGCCCTCAGCAGAGACTGGCAAACATGCAGATGGCAAGGAAGGAGCCTCTAAAAGTTGACATGTGATGACATCATTAGCACTGTGGGTACCCAGCAATCTAAGACGTTAGAGGCAATGAGCACCCCTCAGACTTCAGCTCCCCAGTCACCACCACCCAACCCACCCCAAGCTTGTTTTTTCTCCTGTGACAACAGCTCAGATGGGCCTTCAGAACATTCTCGCCTTTCCTCCTATGGAACGTTTCTTTCTGCCAGAGATACGGTCTCTGCTGTAACCAAAGGGGCGGATTTTCAGCTCCACATAAGGAATGGAGAACTCATGTCCTTTCCATGGCTCCCAGTTCACCCCCTGCAAAACAAACCAACAAACAAACATCAAGAAAAGGTATTTGGGAGAAGAGTAAGGTGGCTTATAGAAGAGGGGACCCTAGAGAGGGAAATGATTCCCTCTCTGGTGGAGGAGGGAAAGGAGGACAAAGTTTGGGTAGTAATAGGTTATGAGGCAAGATAGGAGGGGCAGCTCATGTGCCCCCTCCTGGAATTTGACAAGCTGAGTGGACAGGAAAAGAAGCCTCTGGTGGGAAAAATGGAGTGTGAGCCCTAGATGTGGGAGAGGCCAGAACACAAGGATGCCAAGGGGGTAACCGAGGCAGAGATCAGCAAATCAGCTATCGCCTCACTCTGCTCTTTTCAAAAAAAAAAAAAAAAAAAAGGTAAAAATAAACATATTAATTAGCCAGTTGTGTAAAATCATTTTCAATTTAGACTGTTTAGATATTAGCGCTGGGATGACAAATGGCCCACTGAAAACTAAATTTCATTTTATGTCTTTTGACTGGTGAGCACAATAATATTTAATTCACTTAATAACCTTGCAACCTGGCCAATAAAGAGCCCAAGTGACCAATTTTATGTATTTTAATTTGTGAGGTAAATAATAAACAAGAAGCTAAATGCCTTGCAGACTGAGAAAAGCACATTAACCAGATGAATGTCTTTTATTAGCAAACGCAGGGATGGTTTAGGGCATGCTGGCTGCTCATTGCAGATATTTGATCTCTGATCACAGGCTTCTCTTGTCGACCCACATGCTGCCACCATGATTCATTGGGCCAACCCTCCCTATACCCTGGGGACAAATTTCTTCTTCCCTTTGGAAAAAAAAATCACAAAAGGATTTGGAGTCTTGGCTGCCTGGCAAGAACAAAAGTAATAAAAATGTACCTAGATCTGAGAAGTGCTAATATTTACAGTAATATTTGGTGTGTGTGAATTCTGGGGAAAGGTAGCTTCATGAAGGCCAGGATCAGGACCTAGCATTGGAAATTAGAGACCGAAGACAGGTTTCTGGAGGACAGGAGACTGACGGTGAGTAGAAGAAACATACAATTTTCAAGAAGCCACGGGGGGTCGGCAGATGTCCTGTAGCTGGCAAAGAGTCACAGTGATACACAAGGGTCCTGGGGGTCCCAAATAGTACTAACAGGAAATTTGCGAGAGGAGTCCTAGCATAGACTCATCCCTGAGCATAGTTCTGACAGAAGGACAAAAACAGGATGCTCACAGCAGACCCTGGGTGACGTGGGTGGGAGTGGAGCCGAGGGGGAGTCTGACCTAACTTAGAACCTGTCTACTTAGTGATGGAGAGACTGAGGGCAGCAGCTTTGGGATAATGAAGGGACAACTGGGAAAGACAACGAAATGCCTGTTTTTATACTTGATGCTTGTGTTCGCCCCAAAATCTGTATATTGAAGTCTTATTAGCTCCATTGCCTCAGGCAGCTCCCTGGTGGCGGGGGTGGTTATCCTAGATGAAGCTATAACTAGAAGGTGTCTATCTCCATGCCAAGAAGCAAGGCTCCATCAAGCATGCATCCGCTTCCACTCTGATTGTGGCTTAGGCAGCCTCTAGAACTGTGAGATAGGCATGTCTGTTTTTAAACCCTCTAACCTGAGGTAGGTTGTTAAAGCAACCTGATCTGTAGCAGGGTCTTTTGTGAATTAGTGAGGTGCACTGATAGCTAGGTGTGGCGCTGCACACATGGAACCCCGGCCCTCGGGAGGCTACAGCAGGAGGATTCAGAGCCCAGCTGTGCCCAGCTGAGGCTACACAGCAAGAGTGTGTGTAATGTGATGAATGACAACAAAAATTTAGCCAGCTGTGGTGACAGATGCCTATAACCTCCAAATTTAAGAGGTAGAGGCAGGAGGATTCTGGGTTATGGTCGTCAGCTACACAGCAAGTGTGAGGTCAGCCTGGGTACATGAGACCCACCCTGTCTCAAAAATAACACAAAGGAAACCTTAAAATGAAGACAGACGGTGTGTAGTTCACATCATGGGTCTTTATGTACCAGTGACAACAAATCACCCACCTGCAGCTGAAAAATGTGTGGTAATGGAATGCACATCACGTAGGATCCGTCCGTCTGGGGATGTCATGAAGCCTGAGGCATAGCCTCTTGCCCTGACCGGAAGCCTCAGAGAGAGAGGAACTACCACACTAACCCGGACGGTATCGCTTTGGGAGTAGGGACAGACAAAGCTTGTGACAGAAAAGATGTTCACCTGCCACTTACCTCACTATGCTTGGTCTCCCCATATTTGCCATTAGGGTTGGCCAAGTGGCAGTTCTTATACCACCAGCCTCCATGATGGGTCAGCGCACAGTTGCTGAGAGCAATATCATTGTCTCTGTCAAAAGTTGTGAACTTCCATCCGTTGTGGTAAGTAAGAGCATCGCCTGTAGGAGAGACAGCAAGGGAGTCAAGAGCCAAGAGGAAAGAAGTCCCAGCAGGAAACATCTAGGACTAAAACACCAAGGATCCAGTTGTTTATCACAGGTGGTCACAACTCTCTCAGAATGGCTAACGAATGTGAGAATGTGATGTGTAGATGAACAGGTTGTCTTTGCTGGCCTGTCACGCAAACACTAGGCCTGTTTCTCCAGCAACCTCAACAGCATTTTCACTTGGAAGTTCTACCATCACATCAAGTGTCTAACCCCCCTTCACTCAATGTAAACACTCTCTGCCCTTCTGCATTTGCCATGATGACCATTCTTCCTGACACCCTAACCCCAAACTCATGCACCTTGCTTGATAAGCCTTTCATATCGTTGATGTAGTCCTACTTTCTCAAATCACCCTCCCCACCTCTACACAGCTGCCAGTCAGGCCTCTTTTCATCTCTGAGGACCTGTATTTGGGTGAACCTTCCCTCTCACTCCATCTCTCAGCCTCTGTGGAAATACCCATTTCACTGCCTTGGAAAAGATGACTCATCCTACTTGCTGTCACTAGGCTACTTCCTATGCTCAGCCTCCAATCCTGTTGTCTCTACAGGTGTGGAGAGCAGGCCCATTTGCCCTCTGTCCTTCATTGGTCAAACCCTAGTCTCCCGTACAATGTAGCATGCTCGCGTGCACACACACACACACACACACACACATCTACCTGAACTTCTAGAGCCCCTCTGGGGACACATGTACAATTTAATGCTTCATTACGTCCTGCCTAGAATCTGCTTTAATTACCTCCCTCGTACTGCACCTATTTCCCTACCACATTTGTCATCCTCTTAGAAGTTTACTTTCTTTTTTCAGCTCATAAAAGGCAATAAGAGCCCATATCAATCATAGGCTTAATCAAGTTCCCCTTCTGCAACCATGACACTCGCGCTTATATCTTAGAGCTGTGACTAAGGCCTGCAAGGTGGGCAGGGCTCTTCCGGCTCCCACAAGGAAATAAGGTCCTGGGGATGCAGCTGTATCGACTGAAGCGAGCTAGTCCTCAGATTCTAAAATGACAATTTGTTCAGAAACACAGATTCACCTGGGGCCCCTCAGGCCCACGGAAGTTTTCATTCCTGCTAACAAGTGCATTCTATCTCTGACAGCCTTCAACGATGGTTCTGGAGGGAGTCCCAAGACCTGAATCACCATCATTACCTTAGAACCTACTGAAAATGTAAATTCTCGGGCTCACCCCAGGCAAACAGAAGTACAAATGACACGTAGGTTGGAAGCATGCCATCTGGGCTTCAACAGCCCTTCCTGCCGTCCCTGCACAGCTGCAGCTTCACCCACATACTTATTCAGAGAACATACAGTAAGCCTTCGGTGGGTGAGCCCCATGCTCGTCTCTGAGGATGCAAAGCAGAGGAGGTTCTTATTCTTGAAAACTGTCAGGGTGAGTTAGAGCAGGTATGGAAAGAGTTGATAGGCGCTGAGGCACAGGGGTAAGGAACACTTAGGAAGTTCAAGGCCCGCAGTTCAAGCTCTAGCACCTGTTGTCCTTCTAAAAAGTTAACAGCCCCTTGTGCAAAGGGAAGGCTCTAATTTGTCTCTCCAAGTCTGTAAACTCAACAGTGGTCCCTTCATGCCACACCCAGTAAAGGGAGCAAGAGAGGCCATTCCTCTGACACCAAGATGGCCATGTCTCCATGAGTTTCTTCCAGTCAAAGAAAAAGACAGGCTTTATTTGTGCACATTTTCTCCTTCCTCCAGATTTCCTGCAGACAGTTAACTACAGCTTGAAATGACACACAATGGCTCCCCTAGTAACATTCTTTTAATAAGCACAGCTTTCCAAGCTTGAATATGAAGTTCCCAGAGCTTACTTTCCAAGAATCCAGACAAATGCTTTCTTTAAGATATCTTCAGTTAACTAACCTTGGATCCTGGACTAGAAAAAAAAGGAAGTGAGCTTCGGTCTTCACAGAATTATTATTATTATTATTATTATTATTATTATTATTATTATTATTATTTCTTCATATGAATTTTCTACCTTTGAGAAACTGAGGCTACCCTATTGTGCAGAGGGTAGAAAATGAGTATGCTTATGAATCAGAAAATAATTGGCTCCAGCTGAGGTAGTATTCTGAGTCAATGAGTTTATGTTCCCGACGTAAAAACAAGTTAATAGTGATGTGATAGATACTCCTTAACCCCAGAACTCTGGAAGCTAACGCCTGAGTATTGCAAGTCTGAAGCCAGAGTGGACTATATACTGACTCAAAAATAATTAGTGAAATCAGTGGTGCTTAGACTCCCTCATATTAGTGATGGGAGAAACTGCTGATAAGCCTTATTCTAAGGCCCCTATTCTACTAGCTTTGGGGGAAAATTGGTTCTTAGGTGTGGATGGAAGGGCTAGAAAAGACTCATAGAAGATCTAAACCAGCATTCAAGGTGTGGCCACCGAGCCGGTCACTGTCCATCTCATCAAAATGTCACTCTGAGACCTGCTCTCCTCCAGTACTCTTTGTGCAACAAGAATGATTCTGCAGCCACCACCTAAAACCCAAGACCAGAAGAAGCCATAAGCAGCATGCTCCCTGCGGGTCACATTCCGACACAGGGCTGTGAGTTTAGACCTTGGATCTGTGTTCCCTGAGACTGGAGGAAGCAAGTAAAGAATAGCCATGACCATCTAGCTTTTCTTTTTCTCCATGAATCTATTACCCATTTTTTTCTCCAATGCCAGCCTTGAAAATTTTTTTTTCAAAATATTAGAAACACCGACTTTGGGTTAAAACAACTCTGTACGGACATTGTCATTCCTGGAGTAGTAAGCACTCTTGGAGATTCCCTGTCACATTTCCAAGTGTCTCCAGGAGGTAGACCCATGAGCACCCTAGAATGATTGAGGAACCTGATATAAGGACATGATACAAAAAAGAACATGAAATAAGCTGTAAACATTTGGATAGTGCAGTGAAAACTCTGAACAATATATCTATGGTAGGCTTTGTAAGAAAACCCATAAGACTCAGAATCAAAAACTAAGTTAACATTCTGTGGCCTTGTGAAGTTTCCTTTGTGATAATAATAATAATAATAATAATAATAATAATAAGAAGAAGAAGAAGAAGAAGAAGAAGAAGAAGAAGAAGAAGAAGAAGAAGAAGAAGAAGAAGAAGCCTGAAGTCATGACTTCAGTGGAAATCAGAAGTCAGAAGCTATGGCCCCAGTTAAACAGCCCGAGATGGGGACAACCCTGAAACCTCATCTTTCCACCAAGGCTGTGCATCTCTTCTGTAATAAAAGTGCTAATGAAGCTAGACCCAGGACTTCAGCTTCTGGCACACACAGCAATAGCAAGACCTTCAGCTTCCATTTGAACATCTGTCCTCTACACTGTGTGTCATCATAGCCAGAAGCTTCCTTCATTCAAAAACCTTCATCTGAACCAAGAACCAAGAATCATATACAAGGAAATCTAAAATGCCACTGATCCCACCGTTGTAATGCAGATGATAAAGGTAGGAAGACTAGATGGCTGCCTAAATGCTATGTGATTTGAGAGTCTCCCAAGGCTTCCTATTAAAGAAGACATCCTCCACTGACTGGCCTTTGTTGGCCTGAACAACCTTAGAATGGGAATTATCCCCTAGTCACAGTTAAAATGCAAATGAGGTACCTGGGAGGAGAATCGCATTAATTTAAGAATATGTTGACTCCCTTTCCCATTAGCACCAGCTCATTTGCTGGATTATGTTAACCAGGCTCAGAAAAGGCAAAGTTTAATGGTCCGAGGAAGGAAAGGGAAAGAAAGGGACAAACTGCAAAGACAGGTCTGAATGAAGTCCCAACCAAGAGGCCAGGAAGGGCAGTAGGTTTGCATGGGACAGGAAGATACTGGGGCCAAAGAGAAGCACCTGACTTGAAAACTTGTCCAGGAAGATGTCAGGAATGAGGTGTGTAAAATCTGAGACACTAACATGAGAAGAAAAGGCTACATCTAGCTGGAGGCATGAAGGATGGCCAGACAGAGGTAGAGTGAGACCAGAGCAGGAGCAGGCCCAAGTGGGGAACCGAAGGCTGGTCTGCAAGTCCTCTATTATTCTAAATGGTAGGAGAGAGTGGGAGAAGGCATCAGGAATACACTCTGACCTTATTTAGAGAGGAGGCGAGAGCCAAGAGCATTGTCCAAGACAGTGAATTTAAGTTATTTTAGTATTCAATTATCATGATCACTATGTATGATAGTATATTCCTTAATGCCAGCACTCAAGAGGCAGAGGCCGGAAGACTACAAGTTGCATGCTAGTCTAGGATACATAATAAGAGCTTTTCTGGTTATTATTATTATTATTATTATTATTATTATTATTATTATTAATTACAATTTATTCACTTTGTATCCCAGCTGTAGCCCCCTCCCTCATCTCTTCCTGTTCCCATTCTCCCTCCCTCTTCCCCCCATAACCCTCCCCTAATCCACTGATAGGAGAGGTCTTCCTCCCCTACTATCTGACCCTAGCCTACCATGTCTCATCAGGACTGTCTGGATCTTCTTTCTCTGTGGCCTAGTAAGGTCACCTCACCAGGGGGAGGTGATTAAAGAGCATGCAACCAAGTTTATGCCAGTGACTGCTCCTGTTTTCTTTAACTAAGGAGCCCACATGGTGAAGACCAAGCTCCCTATGGGCTACATCGGAGCAGGGGGTCTAGTCCTAAAGAAGCTAAACAACAAAGAGGACCCTAGGGAAGATGCTTGATCCTCATTTAGAAGGGCAAACAGGATAGATATCAGAAGCAGAAGACAGAGAACAGGACAGGAGCCTTCCATGAAGGGTCTCTGAAAGACTCTACCCAGCAGATGCTAAGACTCATAGCCAAACTTTGGGCAGAGTGCAGGGAATCTTATGGAAGAAGGGGAATATAGAAAGGCCTGGAGGGGACAGGAGCTCCACAAGGAGACCAACAGAGCCAAAAAATCTGGGTCCAGTGGGGCCTAAAGAGACTGATGGTTCAACCAAGGATCATGCATGAAGAGCTTGTCTTTTTAAAACAGTAATTATTATGATCATTTAAATCATTCTATAACTAGCCTGATAATCATATAAACAAAGGTCCATCTGGGTTTCCCAGTTGTATCCAAGCTGCCTTTCCCTCCTTGAATTAACAAAACAAAACCAGAAAAAAATCCTCACTGACTGGCCTTGTTGGCCTGAGCAACTTTAGAAAGGAGTTATCCCCTACTCAGAGTTAAAATGCAAATAATGTACCTTGGGGACAGTCAATTAGTTTAGAATATGTTGCCTCCTTCGACTCATTCTCTCAATAGCCTGACTTCCAGAGCTGACTCCTGCATTTTATATTCCACTTAGAGTGCCTGCAGGCCAGCCCATCTCTAGCCCATACAGAGGCAGAACGTAGGGAGAAGGAAGGGTCGAATCCAAAGCAAAGTGGACCTTTCTAGCGTAGTGACTTTTTCTGGAGTTATTTCCCCCAGAACTCTTTGCACACTGTTTCCCATGCAATCCCTGCATAGAATTCTTGGACAGCTCAGACTTGGTCAAGTGCAAACATGTTGATGGCAGGTACTGACCTGCTCCCACACTACCTTGTCACCCTATTAAAATATTAAACACCCATGAGATTAGACAAAGAAATCCTGCTAGACAGTTCATTGTTTTAAACTCATTAACACTGCACCAGACGCCTTACTAGATACTAAGAAGCAAGAGTAAAATTCGTATTATGGTTTTAAGAAGTGAAATGATAGAACTCAAAGAAATGTTCCATTCACAGATGACCACTTCAGATCATTAACCCCAGACCTCAGAGATCCTCGAGGACACAATTTTGAGATGCCCTGCAAAGCTTCTGGAATACCCGGCAACCTTCCCCCCTGGCTTAGCCCTCTATTCCTACTGGGCTCCCTCAGAGTGGTGAGGCCCTTCCTTTCCTCCCCTCTGTGTTTGGCCCACTGGCTGAGAAACTTCCTTGTCCTCCAAGAAGCTTCCCCCGGCTACCCGGGTCCTTCATGTACCCACAATCCCCATTCCTTAGCTCTTTACTTCGCATACCACTTGGTCTGCCAAAGTTATTCTCCTTTTGCCACGTACGTTAGAGATGAGAGACCGTGTCCTACACAGTCAGCCAACTTGGCCAGTAACACATCCCTAAATGACTACAATGGTTACACCAAAGTTGGACTCAGGCAAAAAGCAGAGGACAGACTTTTCTTTAAAAGCCATGAATATCATTTTTTAAAATATCAGCAGTAAGGCAATAACTACACCATCCCCTCTTAAGACATTTGTCAGTATAATTTCAGCATTTCAGTCATGCTGCTTAATTGTGTTTCTTTTTCTGTACAACTGAATACACTACCCACTGACCAAAATCTAGTGAGAAGCTAGCGAATGGAGGCTAGAAGGGTCCCTGCTTCTGGATAAACTACTCATTTTTGTCTTGTCCCTGTTGTGTGAGTTAATGAGACCTACAGTCCTTACTGCTTGGCTCAGCACTTCCATTTTTCTGTCTTAATTTACATCAAACTACCACAAAATGATGAAATGATACTCAAACCCCCCCACACACACACACACCCTGTTAAGACAGACAAGCATGTCAGTCACACTGTGTATGGAAGTCCACTGAGAGTCTCCAAATAAAATTGCTCAAAAATGCGCAACATCCTAAACCAGGGAAGAATAAAAGGACTGTGGGGGCGGGGGAATATAAAACTTCCAGTTTTATGGTTAAAGATTGTTCTCACATCTTTTACCCTCAAGCCCCTTCACAGAGCATGACCTCCATTGTTAGTGAGGACAACCAACCTATTTACCAGTATTCTGCAGCCCACATCCATGGCACACGGCAAACCGAACCTTAGATGACGGCACTAAGAGAGTCCTGCAGTCAGAAATCTCTCTTACCTGCTGTGCCCCTGTATTTCCCGACCGACAGCTTGTACCGCTCTTTGCTGGACGCCACTTGGAAGAAATCATACACAGCATAGGCGGACTCATTGGCAGTCTGTAAGTCTGCCCTCACCTCATACCGAGTAGGAGTGCCAGTGGTGAGGTTGTGTAGCTTATCAAGTCCTGAAAACATGGAACAGAATTCTAATAACCAATCAGCTCCTGGGGGGCGGGGGAGGGGGACTCTCACTGTCTGCATCTGAGATGTTCAGAGCTAAATGCCATCTTAGTGTTTATCTTCTCTGCTAATAAAAGGCTTTCCCAACATTTTCTCCTGGGGTGTTAATATTCTCACCCTGTTATTTCTTTGGCATGGCAATGCTATTGACTTCATGGAATGCCATCAGGTAGCAGAGGGTGCGTAGTATTGGGGTAATCTGCCCACTGGCTCCACCTCTCCAAAGCAGAAGCAGGCTTTTTTTTTTTTTTTTTGTCACACATCTTACAAGTAGAAGGACAGATCAACTAACTGTCATCCTCGGATCTCAAAGGAGACTGTATCTGGCAAACCACAAACATCATCTACTCTAGCAGACACCAAATACCCAGATTTGATTTTTTTTAATTATTTTATATTTCCCAGTAGATATTTTATTGGCTAGTTAACTCTCTGTGAACATCTGCTCAAAAGAGAGCGGAGGGAAAATGGGCAAAACTTATGTCCTTAATGTCTGTCTGGCTGTACTAGCAGAATTGCAGGAACCGCTTGCACACAGTCTTAATGAGAGCCCAGGATCCAAGTCAATCAACTGTCTTTCCATTGTGGTTCTATGAAGTGGAGGCTCTGGAAAGATTCTGTAGAGCTTAAATATGGCAGGAAAGCCACCTCAGGCAGCCCTATCTCTTCACCCATCCCTGGTGTGCAAAAACCTTCCCACACCACACAGTGTCCTTACCCTTGGACCTCTCCTTGAAAATGGGAAGCTTCCTTAATCAGCCTGACCAGCTTATCAAGAGATATATTATTCTCCCATAACCCAACCTTCCTGATTTTCAGAGGTCATACCAAGCCAGAACTCCTTCATGGGGTCCCCAAAACCTTCTACGTAACTCCGCCAACGCTTGAAGAAATCCAGCTGTCCAGTGTTCCGCCTCTGGAAGACCTGAGAAGAAAAAAATGAATGCTTTTGTTGCTCTGCCATTGAATGGACATTACTGTCCATGGTAGTTGTGTTTTCCAGATGGTTGTGGGAGGCAAGAGGAAATTGTGAACCTGCACATACACTGACTTCCTGCAATCACACAGCTTCATCTTTTAGAAGCAATTTTTATTTATATCTCAGTATATTGACTATAATGCCTATTATATTAGTAAGAATTTTAGGTGAAATTTGTAATCCAGGTATGAAAATGGGTAGTAGCTAACAGGCAGTGTTTCCACTCTCAAGAAATTTCAGTCATAAAACAGAAAAACTTGAGAGACCTGGCAATATACTGCTAGTAGTTAGCTGTGTAGGACAGAACATTCCAGATCTTTGCTGTCTCTGGCGTACAACCTTCAACGATTTGACTCGATTTGAGCATGATATATTTATATGCTGTCTTTTATCTTCCACTTAAATAGTCTGAAAGCAGGGATTATTTTAATTCTCGAGACTCCTAACATAGCAAGTATTCAGACTCTATGGAACAACAAAAGTTCACCCAACAAGTATTTATTGAGCATCTACTATACAGTAGAAACCATGCAAGGTGATGGGCAAAATGGATAAAACATAAAAGATTCCTGTCCAAATGGAGCAAGCATTCCAGTAAATAAGGTAGACGTAAATTAGGCAATCAGGCAAATAAGAATTTAATTAAACCAATGATAAGAGCTATGAAGGAAAGATACAACAGGACTGCACCAGAGAAAGAGTCAAGAACATGGGAAGTAGCTGATTGCAGGGTGAGCAGGAGCACTGGGAAGAAAAAGGAAGCTAGGCTGTGATGGCTCCGAGTGCTCATTAGGAGGGACTGGGAGAAGAGGCTGGAAAACAGGCAAAGGAGTGGGATTCGGTTTGGTTGAAGCAATGGTGATTTTGGAGGACTCTAAGCAGGAAATGGGGTCTTCCCCAGATCCCTCTGGCTGCAGTGTAGAGAACAGCCCGGCCAGTGGCAAGAATGGAAGAGAGACAACCAGTTTGGAGACCACTGCACTGTGCTGTTGGCGGGGGATGGTAAGCTTAGACAAAAAGCTACCTTGAGAACAGACAGAAGCTGGCAGAAGGCAACGCTGTCAGACACTAGAATGTGGCACTGAGCCGATAGTGAGAGTTCACACACAGGTGAGTAGATCAGTCACTGGAATTCCAGTCCGTGTTTTTAGGACTTGATAACTACACAGGTCTCCTTTTCTAGAGGAGTTTTGATTACAGAACTGGGTAACTATTTACTCAGCTGTTCCTGTAGAATTCCTTCTACAGGAAGGAATTCGGAGAGGGACAGCTTTTGTGGGTATTATCATAAGCTCATTTGGGGACACTGTGTGAGTTGAGGGTTTGTTGATTTTCTTTTTCTTTTTTTTTCCTATACTGGGAATCACACTTAGGGGCTATGCAAATGCTCTAGCACCGAGTGACATCTTTGGTCCAGTATGAGTTCTTTCTGAGGTTTCCTCGTGAAGGAGGTTCTCATGTAACCATGAAGGGAGACCTAGGCTTGGTTTCTAAGGTGAGGGTGTACCTGGGAAATATTGTAGCAGCTTACCAAGTCCCATTTCACTTTCCTTGTCCCAAGAATATGGGGTCTTTTCCAGCTTTCTTTGCAATTACGTTTTTTAAAAGCAATGTCACTGTTTCTAGCCAAAAGACCATAAGCAGGAGGACGAGAGAAGGTGGGGTTTTCCACGCTGCCTTCCACTGACAGGTACCTTGGTAAAAGCCACAGATTGCAATGGAAGCAGCCCAGACCACAGAGTCGCCGCTCAGAAGTGACTGTGAAACCTACAGAAGGCATTGCACACATCAGCGAGATGGCTCACATATTATTAAAGCATGGGAACAGGAGGTGGCTTTTCACTGCAGCAGAACCATGCCATCCTAATGAACATAGAGACCCACCAAGACTCTGAGGGGAATGAAGGCCCAGGGGAGGATACTGCCATATGAGAAGAAAGTCAAAAGTGAGGAGAGAGGGGCGTGGGATCCACCTGGGAGACCTCTAATCTGTTCATGGACATGGATAAGTTCATTCAGAAGAGAGGAAGCAACTAGGAACATAGAAAGAAAGGTAGAAAAATGTGATATCACAAAAGCCACAAAGATAAATAATGGCCAATAGCTCCCAACACTGATAAGAGGTGAGGGGGCGTAAGATTAAAACCCTCCCTGGGATGTAGTGACATGGAAGTCAGCAGTCATGTCAGCAAGGGCTGTGTTAGAGAGAGACAAGGAGCTGGGCTGGGGCGGGCTGAGGAGTGAATGGAAAAATGAGAAAATGGAACTGCTTTGTTTACAAAAATATCTCTCCCCAGAAAGGAAAGGTCAATTCCCCTTAGAGTAAGTCAGAACTGGAGAAGTTCCCCAAAGCCAAACACACCTGCACACAGCATTGAAAATGGAAATGCTCATTATTCCACTTGAACTTGAGAGCCATGCTAAAAGCCATCATGATTAGCAGTAATGATTCGCAACGCCTTACCGAAGAATTGTATCTCCACCTATTTTTTTCCCCTTGTGCTCAACTAACTGAAAAAGCACCAACACAGAAGTCTGCTACCCCATGATCTTAAATTTGGTAAAGTAAACCTAATAGTTGTATGATCTTCACATTTTTCTCTAGGAGGAGGAAGTGAGAGAGGAGGGAACCATGCTGTGAATGGCCGCTTACCATTCACTCCCTATAAAGCACCATTACAGTTTGTGGCCAAGCAGGAGGTACTGAATAAAGACACCCATGGGATGAGAGTCCAAGTCAGGGTCCAAGTCAGCCACAGACACCTCCTGGCAGGGGATAGTGAGTCAGGCATTTGGGGCCAGCTCACTGTGAAGCAGAGATTCATGTGGGAAAGAGAAGCCTGCCACACAGTTTCTGGGAAGACTAGATGAAATGGTCTGCATCCTCCAAAAATGCTCCGTAAATGGGCATAAGCTGATGAGAAGAACTTAGGGAAAAATCACAGCAAGCCATCACACACAGTAGTAATGTGTAGTAATGTGTAGTTAGCATGACTGTTCTTATTCTCCTTTTCTTGGCTGCCCATTTGTTAGAGCTTCCTTATTCCTTTTTTATTTGTTTTATTTTTATTTTTGTTTGTTTGTTTGTTTGTTTTTGCTTCCTTCATTCATTACTTATATAACAAACGTTTACTGGATGTCTGTTGAATGTTGGCTCTGGGTTAAAAATAACGATGCTATTCCACAGATGGCAAAGTCCAGAAAATTATCCATATCCACACAACTGTTTGGTGGCTCACAGGAGTATAATACACAGCCCAGTCTTTTCAGTCAGAAAGTTTGAAAATCTAGCTCTCCCAGCTCTATTTCCTCAGTAGCAGCATTTTAGAAAACATAGAAGACTTGTTGCCTAGTGAGGAGCCTGTGTCAACCCTGCTCTCAGATTCCTCTTATGTCACAGACAACAGAATCCTAGGCTGGACATGATACTGACATGTTCTTATATGTGTCTATCCGTTGTGATGAATAGCATTCTCACCACAAGGCTGAGACTGATTTGGCGCCTGCCTTTCTAAGGAAAGATACAATATCAATGTCACAATCTCCAATCAATGAGTGTGTTTGGGGTTTAGGGTATTGTTGTTGTGTTGTATTGTGTTTTGTTTTGTTTTAAATAATGTCCCAGTATGTCCAGGGAAGCTGATTCTGGAATCTCCACAGTTACTAGATACATCCTTGGCTAAGTTAGCTAATTTTGATGAGCTTCATTTCTTTCTCTCAATGTATTGCAGGCTGGTCTCAAACTCACATGTAGCCAAAGATGATCTTGACCTTCTCATTCCACCCCTCTGCCTCTGCCTCCTAGGTGCTAGCATTAAAGTCAGGTACCATCACATCCAGTTTTTTGTGGTGCCAGAGAACAATCCCGGGGCTTTACACTTTACCAACTGAGCCATAACCACGGCCCAAGCTTCCCTTCTCTGAACTGCCAGATCAAGGCATAAGGAGCTGCCATCACTTAAGAGCTTAAATGGAGGCTTCAGGAAGGCCAGGAAGCCAGAAAACAGCAGAGGCTGGCACATAGAGATAGTTGTTATTATATCTTAATAATTGCTGGTTGCCTTTTATTATATCATACTTAAGTGTACTGACCTGCACAGATAATTCAGACATCTTTATCTGACAGCTTTGATTTAAGCTTTCAATCTATTTAGAGATTAAAATGCTCTATAATGAACTACTTAAAAAACAGTAAAAGGAAATAAATCTTAAAAGGTGGTGAAATATCTATGGTGTGTTCTACAGCCCAACATTGCCACTGTGCTGGAGATGTTAACTCACTCTCTTGAATGACATAATCAGGAGGGAAAGTCAAAACTGCATTGAAAGGCCTGTGGAAAGCGCCTCTGATGTGGCCCAGAGACTTCTAAGATGGAAAGATTTGAGACTTCAAGTGTTTGTTCCCTGATATTTTTTCCAGCCTCCTCCTGGCTGCCTGGGTTGCCTTGGGGCAAAGTCCTTCTGCCTGTTCATCAAATTAGGTTCCTGCTGCCTAAGACAGAAAACAACTTCCATAAAAGGATTTTAAAAGCTCAAAAGAAGCCTGGGTCATCTTTCAGGGGCAGGAGACCCTTGAACCAAATAAAACACAGAAACGGTCAACAAAATATGTAATAGAGACGTTTTTAGGACTCCACTTATCTTCTGGAGCAGGTGCAGGAGGGAGACCTCTGTACACGCTTCATCTGTTACCTACTGGAGGCTGGAGCAGACAACAAGAGATGGTGTGGTTTGGGGACTGGTTACAAGTGGATTCAGTAGTTCTAGAACTGTGTTTTCGTCAGGCTCATTTGCATGGGTGTACAGAAAGCAAGTCCCTTGAAGCATCTGATTTGTTCATTCATGGATCATTGGTCTATGAAACAGTAGGTACTCACTAAATATTTGTACAATATATTGTGGGTTATGTAAGCAGAGAGACAATCTCTGTCTCTGTCTCTCTGTGTCTCTGTCTCTCTCTCTCTCAGATGCCTTAGATAAATGGTTCCTTCCCTGTCAAGCTTGGCTTTCAAAAAGGCCACACTAAACAGTGCAGACATCCTGCCAATGGTCAATTACAGGCACAATGGCAGGAAATTGGGCTATAGGCTTGGAGGAACCAAAGCTTAGAGTTACAATGGTGCTGATGAAAGGCAGCAGGCACAGCCCTATGGTTCTGCTTTTAGGTGGGAGACCTCCCATGTTACAAGCTGTTGTGTTATTCTATAAATCAAGAGTTTCTGACATCCAACCAATTGTCAGATGAAACAGACTTTCAACTATTCTTTGTGTCCGTGCAGATGTTAGGTTTTCTTCATTGCTGCTCGTCAGATGAGACCATTTCACCTGTGGCTGCTCAAAACTGTCTGGCTTCCCAGAGCCCTGAGCAAACGTGTAAATGAACATAGCTGGACACTAGGAGACCATGTTTTCTCCTTCCCACAGTGGGTTGCAAGGCCCAGCAGGTGAAGACTGCCTAGTACTCGAGAAAAGAAGAGCTTCAGTTGGTTCAGACACAGGGAGAAGCAAAGTGGAGGAGAAAGAACGATCTACCTGCAGCCTTCAAAGATTCATCATAGAACTGAATCAGCAAGCAATGAAAGGAGTCATATAGTGTAAGCTGACAATGGCTCAAGAGAGCAAAACTTCCTGACAGAAGGAAACAGCTAGACACAGCCCGAGTTTTCCTGGCTCTGGCCTCACTCTCAAATCTAAGCCCTGGAGTTTTGTTTCTGTGCTACAGAGCCAAGGTGTATACCAAAGACCAGATGATCCAGTTCAGAGGACTGATCCCCAAAGAGGCCATGCGTTTCCATCTTGGGTGACCTGAGAGGAGGCAACTGGAAGACCAAAGATCTAGCAGATGTGACTCCTGGAATGTGGTTCCAGTAATGTCGCTGACATGTGTGCCTGGATGGACCAAAGATCCTCTCACTGTCAGCTTCAGCTTCCCTCTTTGTAAAACAAGAGTAATAATCCTCTCACACTAAAGTGCTATGTGAGGGTTGTGCTTTTGAAGGTGCTTTGAGGAGGGTAGTCTATAGGAATAATAGCCATACCAGCCATTATTAGATGATGATAAAGTCATAGTCGTTAGCCCTGGTTTAACCAAGCCTGTTCTGTGACCAGTGTTAAGCTCTAAGATCCCTCTTTACCATGGGATAAGATCCCTCTCCAAACAGTTACAAGCCATCAAAGAAATAGAACCTTCGTGGGTCAGCTAAGACCATCTCCCGGGGCTAAGAAAGAAGTTCTTCCACAGAGCTCCTCTGGGCACCGTGGGGACTCACAATCCAGCCGCCTCCGTCTGTGTCCATGTCACAATACACCTGCATGGGCCGGCTGGCATCACCGTTTATGTAGATTGTGTAGAGGCCACTGGCAGCATTCGTGTTCTGCTGAACCTGACTGCAGTCTGAGGGGTGTGGAAAACGGGCATCCACTGAGATCAAGCAGAAGGATAGTGTTGTTAGCAGGGAAGGAAGAAGAGACAATGCAGCTTTCCCCAGTGCAAGGCAAATCACTGCTTGGAAATTAACTCATAGCCTCGCACACTATTTTGCTTCTTCCAATTCCTGGCTCACGTGTTGGTTTTCTCGCCCACTGTATTGGTTTTCTTGCCCAGTCTTCTCCCGCCAATCTCAGCAAATGCACCTTTAAGTTAGGTTACTCACTGTCCTAGATCAGGTTTGCCCACTTCCCTCTTCAGGCTTTTCGCTATGGAGAGGATTTGTTTGCAGCCCATAACCCCACTTTCATTTCTTCATGCTCCTCCCTGTCCTTTCCAGTGCCTTTCGTCTATTTGTCACCATTTAAAGGACTGGGTTCTACAGTACCTGTAGAAAGCGTGGTAGACACACTCCGGCTCCGGCGATCCCCCTTAAAGGCAACCAAGGAAACAGGATAGGTGATGCCCTGTTCCAGGTCTTCCAACTCAAACCTCTGCTGGCCTCTTTGGAGCTGCACTTCCTACAAGCAAAGAAGATAACTGACTGTTCGCCATTCAGTTTCTCTTCCCAGCACCCTGGGCATCAATAGGGTTGACTAGAATGACATCAGAAGCTCTGCAAGTTCTCTCTGGCAGCCCAGAACCACAGTGAGTATCAGTGGCTTCCCTGTAGGGCCATGCCATGGAGGGTCAGCACCGCTAGAACAGTTAGCTGAGAACCAGCGCCACGCATGGCCACCACAGGAGCACAAGCCAGGTTGCCTGAGGGCTTGTGCCTTCAGATATCAGTTGAAGTACTGATCATAGCAACTGCTGTCGCCAGCAGGCTGACAGTGTTGGACTAAGAACATTGTTTTAAAACGAACGCAAAATTGGCCATCATATCTGTGAGATACATAAAACTAGCTGGTGTTTCAAGAAATTCTTCTGAATATGCCTTACTCACTCTATACTCTCCAAGCAGGACAATCAGATGCATACATTGTAATAGTGAATAAATCAGAGTCCCTTTTTTACTTTTTATTTATTTATCTGTTTGTTTATTTATTACCAAAGAGAGAGAGTGACAATTTTCTACTGGCCACATTTGGAAATTTTGCTGGACTTCAGAGATTCCTGTGCAAGGCTAGCCCTTGAAATAATCGTCACCTGTTTATTTGGTGGGTATTTATCGGTAGCCAGGAGTGGAGGCACGCACCTCTGATCTCAACTGCTTTCCATACTAAGCAGGAAGAGTTCAAGCTTGAAGTCAGCCTCAGCAATTTAGTGAACTTGTCTGAAAATAAAAATACTAAAAAGGGATAGGGACATAGTTCAGGGGTGGAGTTCTTCCCTAACATGTACAAGGCCCTGAATTCAAGCTTCATTATTGAAAAAAAAAAAAAAACTCCTCCTGGAACTTACATACATTAAGCAGGTCCAACGATTTACAGAAGGGAGGGAGGGGGAGAAGAAGGAGAAGGGGAAGCAGCAGGAGGAGCAGGAGGAGAGCATCAGCAGAAGGAAGTGCAGGAGGAACAGAAGGAGAGGCAGGAGGAAGCCGCAATGATAGCAGGGCTGACAGATGAACTCAGTGATGCAGAGTTTGCCTCGTATGGACAAGACCTTGGGTTTGGGCCTCTAGAAGTGGAAAATAAGCAGTAAATGCACAGCCAGCAAATGTGTAGTAGTCAGCTAGGAGGAGGCACAAACATGAGTCCTTATGAGGACAACACAGTATTCGAAAATAAGTATACTTAACAGGTGATGGATCAAGTCAAGCCAACTTGTCCAAGTCTGTTGTTCAACAGGGAGACTGTGAAGAGAAGGCACCAAGAGAAATATAAGAAGTCCTCATACCTTCACGGTGCCATTTGGGAACTGGTAAGTCAGAATGTAGCCATCAATTTGAGCAGCAGGGGGCATCCAGGTCAATACCCCACTGGAATGTGTTATGCCAAATGGACGAAGATTTTTAGGAGGGTCAATTTCTGTAAATGAGAAGCCAGGTAGTTATTGTTCTGAAAATAGGTGTGATTTTAAGTGATCTGTTCTTATTTCCCTTCTGTGTATTTTCCCATTTCTCGCCCTGCCTCCAAGCAGCTGCCAGTCCTGTTCTGCCCAGAGCCTTCCTAGCCTTTGTCTCTAAAAGTACAGACCTGTAGAATTCAAGAGGATTTGGGGCTATGGCATTGAGGAGTCTCTAGAGGGAAGGACTCTGGGCCTCATTTCACCTGTAGATTCCCACAGTGGTAAATATGAACAATCTAATTTAGCACCTGGAGTCTCTATGGTAGTGGAGCTTCATGAGTGATTTGGAAAAATCAGAGCAGCAGATTAGAAAGGGCCCTGAGAACAGAACCCAGGGATCATGCAATGATACCTACCTATCTGGAGAAGTAATGAAAAGCTCGCATGTTTCCAATGCCCAGCACTGAGAAACCCCCAAAGACTTACATACTGAGATTAGAGGCCATAACGTGCAAGGGGACTTAGGATAAAGTTAAGTTAGTATAGAAATGCAAAATTCTGTTTCTTAAGCATCGAAACATGCTTCAATACGTACCCAGTACAGAAATAAAAGATAGTGTTCATATATTTAAAAAGAAAGAAAGTGCATGTGGTCACTCAAGAGGCTGAGCCAGAAAAGCTTGAGGCCAGAGGCCTTCCTGGACCACAGAAGACAGTCTCAGAAAGAGGTGGGGAGGGCTGGTAGCCAAGGTATAGACAAAGCAGACATTTTGTTTTTCTTGTATGGACTTGCCCACCCAAATGCCAGAGGGAATGCATGGATGCATGAGCATACATCAGAGGGTATGCATGAGTATGTCAGCATGTACCAGAGGGCATGCACAGGTATGTGAGCATACACCAGAGGGCATGACTGGGTATGTGAGCATGTACCAGAGGGCATGCATGCTATGTGAACATGTACCACAGACAAGGACAATGAAAGCTCAGCAAAAATACTAATTCCTACATGAGCTGGTTAGAATGTTCGTATTTTTAAGCAAACAAGATATGAATGGAAATTTCCATTTTGAAAAAAAAAATCATAAAAGGCGATTTTAATTTAGAACTTCCCAAAAAGACATCTCCAGGCTATTTTCTACCCAGTAGCATTTCAGCCGAGAACTGAATTGCAGTATTTTAATAGAAATCAGACAGCTGTTGTTTTGAATTAGGTTGTTTTGACAAATTTTGAGTCTCTGTAATATCAGCTTGGTTTGATTTTGCAAAGCATAACATCTGGCGTGGATCGTGCTCTATCCATCACATCAAGAGACTGAATTTCTTTCAGAATCAAAGCAGCACATAGCTATTTACATATTTTAAGGCAGTTTCTGTCTCCTTTTTGATTAACCGCAGTCCCCTGGCTGTGAACTTGAGGTGTCTTACTTGGTTACTTTCCTGTTTCTCTGAAGCAAGAAGATTGGTGTCTTTAAAATGGGGGAAAGTGGGGCTGGCAAGATGGCTCTGCCAGCAGAAGATTGTCAACCAAGCCTAGCAACCTGAGTTCAATCCCAGAACCTACATGAAGGTTTGCAAGTTGTTTTCGACCTTCATATGTGTGCTGTGGCATGCTCATGTGCAAACATATACACACACAGAGAGGAAAGAGAGGAAGGAGAAGGAGAGAAGGAAGGAAGAGGGAAGGAGAGAGAAATGTAGTTCGTTTTTAGTTGGGGAAAGTAAAGCAAAGATAAGATAAAATAAAAGAGGAAGAGAAGATGAGTAGGAAAGAGGAAGAAAGTAATGGAGGAGATGAAGAAGGAAGACAATGGCCATTCATTGCCTCTGGAGAGTCACAAATGTCTCTAGGGAGTCTTCGATGACTGAAAAAGGTATCTGGGATTTATTTTGGGGTTTTGTTTTACACAGATTTCTAATGTGATTTTTTTTTGTTGTTCTTAGTATATTTTAATGTAGGAGTTTTTAATGCCAGCTAATTTTAACTAAAAAAAAAAAAAATCAAGAAATTTAGGCCATCTCTAGTAACCATAGAGATGAATGAACCTTGCTCAGAATGCCTGAAGGGATCACAGACTTTGGATTCCATAGAGGCCCAGTTCCGTGATGCTCATCAATGCCTGGAGTCTCTGTCACACACATATACTTGCAACCTAGTCACCTTCAATCACCCACAAATGATGACATGAGAAGGACTTCCCACCATCACCTCCATCTCCACCTTGGAAGATAGAAACTAGAGCAGCTCCCTGCTTCTTCCTTCTCCCAACAGGAGCTGAGACCCAACAGGTATCTAATACAAAGCAGGGACTGAGATCCTGGCATCGGGGCTCAGTAAATGCCAGGCCTGAGGGAGAACAACTTACACAACCATCACACCATGTGCCCTCTATCACACCCGACCCATGAAAGTACTAACTCAAAAAGCTACCTATGAGGCTGAAGAAAAGCCTCAGAGAGTGAACTGATTCACATGCATGCATGGGAATCTAAGTTCGGATCCCTACTGCCTATAAAAAACCTCACATACAGTAAGATATGTCTGTAATATCGGGGCAGATGTGGCAGTGACTGCTCAGAAAGCTTTACTGACCATCTCAGATCCCCTGAGTTGTCCTGACCAGAGAACCTAGCCAAATCAAAGAGAGACCATCTCAAAAAATACTGTGAACTTTAGTGGAAGTTTCAGTGTCTTTAGAAACTCAGTTATGTTATGTAAACATGTTTTTTTTTTTTTTTTTTTATTCCAGGTGTAGGATATAGGGCTGCTTTGGATTGTCCACAGTGGCTGACTAATTGTCTCATGTTAGCTGAGAGAGGACATGATTTTTGCCAGCTGCAGATAGTTTAATTCTAGGGACTCTGAGAGAAAATAAATGCCAGAATCCAGAGGGGAGGGAGCTTTGATAAAGAAGGCCGCTGATGCCCCCCCTACTGCTCCTGGTTGCTGTTGATGCAGCTGGAGGAGAAGAAGAAATTGGAGATACCCCAAAACCAAGATTGGACTTGCCCCAAGGAACCTGATGACTCTAACCATCAGAAAGTAGCTAAAGAGAACTACATCCCCTTTCCCCACTAGCTTCTTTCCCTCCGACCTGGTGTTGGGGTGTTGGAAGGGATTGGGGTGGAGAAGGGAGGTAGAGGTATAAGAAACCGTAGAGAGATGGCTCAGTGGTTAAGAGCACCAGCTGCTCTTCTACAGGCCCCAGTTTAATCCCCAGCACCCACATGACAGCTCAAAACCATCTGTAACAGTTCTAGAAGATCCAACACCTTCACACAGACATATATGAAAGCAAAACACCAATGCACACTAAATAAATAAATAAATAAATAATAAGAAGAAATCCAATAAAATAATACAGATTTTTAAAAAGGCACCAACAATGAACAGCAACTGAGAAAGACAACCCATGTCAACCTCTGACCTCCATGCACAAGCATAAATGCATACATACGCATGAACATCTAAACACACACAACACACAGAAACAAGGAGAACCGCTTTGGAAAACATCTTCATATAAAGCAATTGTCCTTTCTGTTCCCCTCCTTACCCTATTTATAGAGAGGCTAACTCTTCGCAGGGGTGAAGTGTCACAGTACCTGTTATGGCCGTGGTGTCAGCCTTCTTGCTCTCCCGGCTCCCCTTCTGGGCCCACACGTGAATGGTATATTCCATGCCTGGCTTCAGGCCTGTCAGGATGGTGCTACTCTGATCCTTTGACACTGGGATCTCCTTGGTCTCTCCATCCGCAGAGGTGTAGCGTACCATGTACCTGTCAATTTTGGCTCGCACTGGGTCCCAGGAGATGGTGGCTGTATTCTCTGTCACCCGGTTGGTTACCAAGTTCTTGGGGCTATCAATTTCTTTAAGATTTAGAAAAGGCTGACTTTAGAACCATGGAATGACCTCTCACCACCCTACCACAAGAATTTTTTTCCATCAAGGGAGATAATAATGGTATAATTATTATGGGTACAATTTTATCACCATTAGTGATATAAATATAGAAGTAAAGCAGATATGGTGGATTGCTCCCGCAGTCCCAACAGTTCAAAGGCAAGAGAAGCACAGATTCAAGGATAATCAGGGCAACATGGTGAGGGACTATTCCAAAAACCAAATTTTAAAAAAGGAAGAGATAGAGGGAAGGAGGGAAGAAGGGAGGGAGAGAGGGAGAAAGGAAAGGAGAAGGGGGAAGATGGGTATGAGAGTTCCTCAGTTTCCATTTTCTGGAAACAGGACACTGGACCAGGGAAACAAGACAGAACCAGATCTTCTCTATGTTTATCAGTCTGGAAATGTTCTGTCCTTCCAGTTTTCACCAGCATCACAATAACTAGCTAACTAAACCACTGAAACCATTGTTGGAATGTTTCCCATTGTACCTATTATGTTCCATCAAATATTCTCCAGCCCCTCGACTTATAAAAGTAGAGAAATGAAGACTCATCCCAGTTTCTTGTTTTCAAACCAAGACCTCTCTGCTCTGAATTTTGAGGTCACCCACCATCTCCAGGGCTTTTTTTCCTCTCTCTATTTCATGATCATTAATTACTATTTTCTCTTCCACCATTTGTCTCAGAAAATCAAGCTCCAGGATCTACCCTTCTCTTCACATTTTGTGCCATTACAAACTAGAGAAGGATCCTGTATATCTCAGTATCACTCACCTCACATTCAAGCCTCAACTCCATTGTGGACACCTCTAAATCTGCTAATTTTAGGTCCCTAAAAAATTCCATATGGACAACTCTCTAATGGACACTTGACTTACTCAGTCTTTTTGTTGTTTTTGTTTTTGTTTACTCAATCTTTGAGTAGCATTGTACATAATATATCCATTCCATTCTTGGAACACTCTCAGCTCTTGGCTTCCATGATTTCATACTCTTCCACTGTTCTTCTTAATTCGTTGGCACCTCTGCCTTGCCTCTTCAGCCCTTTGATTGCAATCTTCATATGTTGGAGCATCTAAGGATTGGATTATATGCTCTCTCATATTATCTCTCTCTCTTCCTCTCCTACCCTCTCTTTCTTCCTCTCTCTGTCTCTCTCTTTTTCTCTTCCTCTTTTTTCATCTCTCTTTCTCTTCCACTATATATCCCTCCCTCTCTTCCTCCCTCTCTTCTTTCCTCCCTTCCTATTTCTCACTAGTATGATCCTACCATAACTGTGCCTTGAAATACATACTGGTTACCCTTGTGGAATGATAAGTCAAATCCAAGTCCCTCGTTTGCATATCAACTACAGTGTCTGCCTCACTCACACACCCAATACATATTAGTGGAACTAATAAAAACAAACCATTCCCTTAGTAAAAGAATCTCACATGTATCTCAGATTTTAAGTCTGATTGCCTCCCTGAAGAAACAAATATCTCTCCACCTTCTTTCTCAAAAGTAATGCTGCGACCTTTCATGCTGCTCCAGCAGACACAGTTACACTGGATTCTTTATTTTTCCTTGCTCCATATCTTTTCAACCAACAAGTACTATTGCTGTATCTCCAAAATATGTTGTCTGCCATCTTTTTTTCTCTATTCCTGTTCCTAGCCTCCTTGTCCAAATTTATACTACCCAGATTTTAATAGTAACTTCTTTACTGATCTTTCTATTTCTTCCCTTGTCATTTCTTCAACTTATTCTCACTGTATCCTGAAAAGAAAAGTTTTTTACTTAATACTATGTTGTGTCTCTATTCTATAGTCATGGAACAGTTCCTCCTGCAGGCACCTACCTCTCTCCATTCCTCAATCATCTCATCACAAATTACAGTCTTAACATATGATCTTACTTATGTCAGGAATCACCAGCTTCCCCTCAATACTGTCCAACATAGATCCATTAGTCAGGTATCTATCTAATTTGAAATGTGGTTAGTCTGACTAAGCAAGGAATTTCCTTTACTTATATTTAGCTAATTAATTAGTTGGGGTTATTTTTGGAGGAGAATTTAACAGGACAGTGTAGGAGAGGTAAAGCTGAGCACATGCCCATCCCTCTGAGGACCTCCTTCTCCAGACCGCCTATTTTATGTCTTAGATGTTAGAGATAATTCTGAGTATTTAAGTCACACTCTGCCCTTTCCAAGGCCCCTTCTCACTGGCTGGAATGCAGATGTATGTTTACCAAGTAAATAAACACAATTCTCGAGTAGTGAGGGATATACAATAGACAAGGAGCCTGGGTCTCTGGCACAGAGGGAGACCACATCAGCCCTCACCACTCACTTTGCTATTTTATATAAACTCCATCCTTGCCCAAACAATGGTGTACCTGATCATGGTGTCCCATGACTACTCACCTCATCTAAGCCCACCATGCTCTGGACCTACACCATCTTCATGTCTTCCATAGAGCTTATCATAATTTACAGATATGAATTCTCCTTTTGTCTATTGCCTGTCACTCCCACTGGATGTCAGGGGAGCAGAAAACATACTTATTTTGTTTGTCACTCCATCCCCAGGCCTGGCACTTAAAAGATGGTGATGAAAGGTTAGCAACATGCTGGACACAGGCCTTTCCTACATCCCAGGGTAATGTTTGTAACTTTACACCACACAGTTTCTGTGAGGTCAACTCGACGTTGAACAGCTTGCCTCAAAACAGTACTTTCACCCAGTAATTTTAGGACTTTTATATTAATTTTATATCAGTTCATATAATTTTCAGTAGCTGGGAAACATTAACAGTTAAGGGCACACGCGATGGGAGAAGTCTCAAAGCATTCGTGGGACTACTCCTCAGTGGGGTTACTACTGTAATTTGTTCTCTTTGGAAGTGAATGGAAGTTTTTTTTTTTTTTTTAAGGTTTTTAAGAAGTGGAGTTTTTGATAAGGTGTTTAGGTCAGGAGGGCTCTGCTTTCGTGAAGAGACTAATGCCTCCACAGGAATGGGCACGTCACCTCAGGTCGCCATTCCACAGGAGAAGCCAAGTAAGTCTGCTCAGGTCTAAGCTGAAGTTCAAGACCCCCTTGCATTCTCTTTGTCTTACATATGTCCATGTGTGTTATGATACAGAACAAAAAACACCAATCACTGGGAGATTTTTGTCTTGGACATACCAGACTCTACAACAATAAACAAAACAAACAAACAAACAAAACCTTCTGTTCTTTACAATTTTACCTTATGTCTGACAGGCACCCTGTATATCAGAGGAAATGGATTAAGGTGCCGTCCTAAAACAATACAGTCTCTGAGGCCACAGAGCCCAAAATACTAATGTTGTCATTCCGCAGTAATAGATGAAGCTCTGTTTATTAACCCAGTGTGCTCATCCTTCACCTCCTATGTCACATCAGTGTAAGAAAAGGAAAGTAATGTTTGCTCTTCCATGACAGGCTTGCTAGTCCCAAAGAACAACTTTCGTTACCTGTGGGGGCCTTGGTTTTGGCCTTCTTGCTCTCCCGGGCCCCCTTCTGAGCCCACACTTGGACAGTGTACTCCACACCCGGCCTCAGGCCTGTGAGGACGGTGCTGCTCTTCTCCTTCCTTACTGGAATCTCCCTGGTCTCTCCATCAGCAGAGGTGTAGCGCACCATGTACCTGTCAATATCAGCCTGCACCGGGTCCCAGGAAATGGTGGCCGTATTTTCTGTCACCTGATTGGTCACCAGGTTTTTAGGACTGTCAATGTCTATAAGGGAAAGTTTTAGTCAGTATGTGCTATTAGGCCAGCAAATTGGGTGAGTCAGTAAAGACATACAAAAGGATAGCAACCTCAGTGTGATCCCCAAAACTGATGTAAATGTAGAAGAGAACTAACTCCAGAAAATTATCCTGTCACCTCCACACATGTGCCATGTCCTGTGTGCCCCCCTCACACAAAATGATACGATGATGATGATGATGATGGTGACAACAAGAAATCAATATGCACCACCAACAGGCCCAAGGAGCAGAAACTGCTAGCCATGGTGACTGGTGTGAGTTTTCATTTCTGTGATTTTCTAATATTCTCCCATTTTGGTGGGGGTTTGTTTATTTGCTGTTTGTTTATTATTTGTCTCTTATTTCTGTTTCCTACATGCACATGTCTTGGCTCCCTATTCAAGTAGAAACCCCAATCAACCGGAATCTGAAAATCTAAGGCTTCAACAAAACTGATTTCTTAGTCATTTAGTAAGGACTGTCAAGCCAGTGCTCTACATGTAAGGCATGCTACAGGCAATATACAGAGATTCGAGTTGAAGACCTTGGTTTTGCAAACTAGTGGGTGTCCATTAGCATAACAGTAAAGAGCTCTCATAGGACTTATCATTTACAATGACAAATTTGTTTTATAATTAAAATATGACTTGGATGTAGAAAAGCAAATTTTACTTGTGAAAGCGGATGTAAAATCTAAAATCTTAAAGTAAATTTTATTTTATTTTTTTATTGTCTGGACTCATTCACAAAGAAACCAAGAACAATATCTCTAGCAAGAGATCTATGTACTTGGAAGAGGAATTTGTACACACACTCAACCAAACAGTTGGGAGACTGTTTGGAGAGAATATAGCGCAATAGCTCTTAACCTGTGGGCTTAATCCTTTCACAGGGGTCACCTAAGACCATCAGAAACAAAAAAAGATATTTACATTATGACTCATAACAGTAGCACAGTGACAGTTATGAAGTAGCGAGGGAATCATGTTACTGTCGGGGGTCACCACAAGAAGAGGAACTGTAATAGAGGGTCGCAGTGTTAGGAAGGTTGAGAACTGCTGCTCTAGCACATAGGGAAAGCAGAAGGAAATAAGGGTTGATGTATGACGCTGGTTATGGGAGAAATAACCTGTGTCGCAGGGAGAAATTAAAATCTCACTGCCCCTGAGCTTGACATGGCAGCCGCCATGCTGCTAAGTTATACCGCTCCTTACCTGTGTGAGCTTCGGTGTTGGCTTTCTTGCTCTCTCGGGCCCCTTTCTGGGCCCACACTTCCACCTTGTACTCCACACCTGGCCTCAGGCCTGTCAGGACAGTGCTCCTCTGTTCTTTTCCAATCAGAAATTCTTTGGACTCTCCATCAACAGAGGTGTAGCGCACCACGTACCTGTCAATGTCAGCCTTTACTGGGTCCCAGGAGACACTGAGAGTGGTCTCTGTCACCTGGTTGGTCACCAGGTTTTTGGGACTATCAATATCTGAAAGGAAAAGTACTGGTCAATAAATACTAGACTAGTCAACAAAGACTAAGGCCATTTTGCTTGGGCTGAGTTTTCCATTCTTACAGTTTTTCCGACCCCATGCATCTGTTTAGTTTTCATTGATAGAGACTACAACTGGACTCTTAGATCTTCAAAGAGGAAGAATGGGACAATGGAATGGTTACCACATCTAGAGTTAGAGGGCCTGTGTTCTAGTAACTACCCCAGCAGAACAGCTGAAGGACATAAAATACCCCAGGTTACACTCAGTAGACCAAGAATCCTACCCCAGGCCTGCCATTTACCAGCCATGAACTTGGACAGCTCAGCTGCTCTGAGTGTGCCTCAGTTTGCATAAATGTGGACCTGAAACTAGGTTATAAGACAGCTCAGTATTCCATGAACACTTCATGAATCAAATCCCACCTTCATCAGCTATCTATATGTCTTGGTGAAATCAAAGATTTCACTCTATTTTAGTATGTTTACTATAAGACAGTGGTACTCTCAACTCAGTAAATTCCTCTAAGGAGAGGAAGAAAGTCCTTATTTCATTCCTAATGGGTATATAAAGTGGCATAAACCCTATAAAAATACACTGGTATATATAATATACTGAAAAATAATGGACCTAATAAGAGAATGATCCAGCATATATGTCCTTGGAAATGAACTAGCACACAAATGCTATGGCATCATTATGCAAAAGGATGGAAAAGAAGAAAATGCACATATTCACAGACGACAAGCGGACAAACCAAATGTCATATGACCATCCAATGAAATATTCACTAATGATAAAATTAAGAATGGATTCATACCACAATTTGGAAGATCCTGAGGAATAGTGTTTTATGAAAAAGTAAATCACTAAAGGCCACATGATCTATGAATCCATGTATAACAAATGTCCAGCCTAATTGGAAAACTTTCTTAGAATAGTGAATGGAAGTTAATGTAGAAGCTCACAACTGGCCATAGCACAAAGAATAAATGTCTGTGGAGGGTTCGGCCACAAATGTAACATCTATATCATACCCTGGCTTAAGGACCATTCAGGAAGAAGAGACAGAAAGACGGTAAGAGCCAGAAGTTGGAGAGGACCCTCACAAAAACAGTGTCTTCTGGATGTGACAAGACCACTATAATCAAGAACTCATGGCAGCCATGAGTGCCTCATGACATATGTACAACATGAAACCAGGCAACATTCCTCCGTGAATGGGAGAGAGACTCATGGAACCCCAGCTGAGGAGCTACTGACAGTTGACGGATTCCGGGAAAAGGTGTGGCATCGGATCAGTCAACCATGGATGACCCCACACCCATGAGTATATGGGAAGTATAGATTGGACTTGGTGGGTTATAAAGGAAGAGGAGAAGACAACAACTCACTCTTGAGTTGGAAAGAGATAGGGATGAATGAGTTAGAGGGGTGAATGGGGAATGATGAAAATATAATGTGTGCATTATAAATTCCCATGAATTAACAAAAATATACTTTTACTTTAAAAGATATGTCCAGAGTAGGAATATCTCTAGAGACAGATGGCACTTGTGATATAAGGTTACAGGACGAAGGAGGGAATTTGCTGGTGATGGACATGAGACTCCTCTTGCTCATGATGTCTCTGAAACAGCAGCAGTATGTCTGAATGTGTATCTGTGAATGTGTCAAGAATACACTAAATTTTCTGAACTGGACTCTTCAAGAGGGTGAATTTTAGTGTAAAAATGCATCTTGGGAAGGCTGTTCTTGATGAAGAGGAAACACAGGTGGAAAAGCCTTAGAATTATCAACTGTTTTTAGATCTAATTAGTCACAGGAGCTTCAGAGTAGAAAACATGGTACTCAAGAGGTTTATTTTCTAAGGAAGCAATGTCCTCCACTGTCCCAAAGAGAACACAGAAAAAGCCATTTATTTCAATAAAGAATATGGCTCACAGATCCTAACATACATTCCTCCTTTTCAAGAGGATTCTTTGGAGACTGGTCACAAAGGAAATACACATTTTAATAAAAAGTGGGTGGGTGTGCCAATCACTGTTAACCTTCAGGAGACAAAAGAAGAGGAAAATATTATGATGTCCTTGTTCTGAACTAATGTATTAAATAGCACAGAGGGATAGTGTGGATGTTATGACAAAGCCTGCCACTCTGGTCTTCCACAATCACTGCTTTCTTCCAAGGTCAGAGAAGGAACAGCAAGCGTCCCCTTATGGATTACCACAAACTATGTCACATCCTCAAACTACAATGCTCCTACCTGTGGGAGCCTTGGTGTTGGCCTTCCTGCTGTCCTGCGCCCCCTTCTGGGCCCACACATCAACCTTGTACTCCACACCTGGCCT